GAGTTAGAAACATCAATGAGAGAGAAACATTGATCAGCTGCCTCCTGCTCGCCCCCTACTGGGGATGTGCCCGCAACCACGGTACATGCCCTTGACCGGAATCAAACCTGGGACCCTTGAGTCTGCAGGCCAACGCTCTATCCACTGAGCCAAACTGGTTAGGGCAGGACTGTGGGTTTTATAAGGGCTGATAAACCAGAAAGTTTTGCTGTATATATGTAAGTCCTTACTTAACATTGTCTATAGCTTCTGTGGCTTCAAGCAAAATAATGTACAATAGTGAAATCAATATTCCCACAGGCTAATTGCTGTAAACAAGAGTTAAGTTCTTATAGCATCTCATCAATGATATAACGAAATGATGCTGAATGAAACGACCTTATCCAAGGACCTCCTGGTTGAAACCAAGCGCCTTTTGGGTCTGCCTCTACGACTCGTAGTGGGAACGGGATGTAGGGTGGGTGGAGAAGGGACTGCCCATCTTGGGTTGAAACATGGTAGGTCGTTGGCCATCCAGTGGCTTTTGATGGCTGCAGTGCAGGTGTCACCCCGTCCCGGAACTGCACCAGGCATACAGCTCAAAAGATTTGCCAGTCTTGATGGAAGGATATGTAAATCTGACTCCATTCACAGCCTCTCTTTAACAGTTCAGTTGAAATTGCATCTAATTTAGGCTCATTCATAATTGTCACTGGTGTAAGTAACTGCAAATGCGGAGGAGCCCACCCCAAGGCCTGATAATTACTTCAGGATGAAAACCCAACTGTAGGAACATCACGGTTGCTATGACAACCATGTGAGAAGCCCCGTTGCCCACGGTTACCTATGTTACCAGATGTCAGTGGCGCTTGAGTCTTAGCTTTGAATGAGCCTCTGGAGCATAATGGGGAAAGGCAATAGGACCTGTATGAGTGGGTCTGAATGAAAGAATCTTCTAGTGCCCATGGGAATCTCTGACATTTTTTTTTTTTTAGCCCCAATGGGTTCATGAAGAGTCTCTATCTCATTACCGTTGTCACCTTGGAGCCTGAGAGTCCTAAAATAACCCTTCCTCTAAAAGGCCTTTCTTTTAAAAAATTATTTGTTAAAATTTAAAAATAAGTAATAGAAATATGAGGTTCAAGCCTGAAAATGCAAAAGCTCTATGAGGAAGTTCTCCTTCCTATCCTTGCCCCCACTTATTCTCTCTCTCTCTCTCTCTCTCTCTCTCTCTCTCTCTCTCCTCTCTCTCTCCCTCTCCCTCTCCCCCCGTCCTCCCACTCCCCATCTCTCTCTCTCCCCTGATTGGGGCCAAGGAATGAACCTGCAAACCAGGTACATGCCCTTGATCGGGAAGCAAACCAGACACTCTTCGGTCCACAGGCTGACACTCTAACCATTGAGCCACGCTGTCCAGGACTGCTTTAATTTGTTTTTACACAAAAGAATATATGATGTACACACAAAAGTACATCATACACATTGTTATGCACCCTTCACTTTTCCTTAATATATGTTGAAATTGTCTTATGTCAACCCATAAAACACTTCCTCAATCTTTTTAAAGTGCAAGGCATTCCATTTTATGGATGTGCCATTGTGTTCAACCATTCCCTATTGACGGCCTTTAGAGTTGTCTTCAGGACTTTGCTATCAAAACAGTGGCGTCGACTAGCCTTACATTAGTGCCATTTTGCACGTGTGAGTTATTGGTAGGACGGTTTGTAGATGTAGAATTGCTGGGCATGTGGACTTGTCATTTGAAATTGCCATTCAAAGATCTCGTATTGATTCCCACGCCCCCCAGCAAGTATGTGAGGCCATTTTCCCACAAACAAACAAAGAGTGTCTTATCAAGCTTTTGGGTTTTTGCCAATCTGGTAGGTGAGAAATGGCATCTCAATGGGGTTCAAACTGCATTTTTCTTGTACGTATTTAATTGTAGTGAACTAGCTATTCATACGCTTTGCCTATTTTTCAATTGGGTTGGTGTTTTTTCTTAGCTGGAGCAATCCTATTAGAATATTAAGTCTGATGATGCTATTCCTTTCCTTACAAGCCACTGCCAACCCATCTCCCTCAGAATGAAACCCAGATCCTTGCAGTCCGCTCTGTTGTCCACCAGTGTGCCCATCCCTATTCTATCTTTTTCCTCTGACTTGGTGTCCAGTTATGTTCCATTTTATTTTTTTATTATTATTTTTTAAAATATATTTTATTGATTTTTTTACAGAGATGAAGGGAGAGAGAGAGTTAGAAACATCGATGAGAGAGAAACATCAATCAGCTGCCTCCTGCACACCTCCTACTGGGGATGTGCCCGCAACCAAGGTACATGCCCTTGACCAGAATCGAACCTGGGACCTTTCAGTCCGCAGGCCGACGCTCTATCCACTGAGCCAAACCGGTTACGGCTATGTTCCATTTTAATCACTGTGTTCTTGCCACACTGATCCTCTTCCTATTCTTTGCATTTGTCTCAGGGCCTTTCACCTTTCTATTCTCTCTGCCTGGAGTAGGCTTCCCCAGCCTATTTAAAATTATAAATTCTTACTAATACACCCTTCCCTCCTCTTACAGTCTTTTTCCATCTCTGCTGATGGACTTGATCTCCTTCCTGCTCACCACCAACATGTTAATTGACTGTCTTCCCTCGCACTAGAGAGTAGGCATATGAAACCTAAGAAAGTGACTGTTCATTTACGCCATCAGGTTTTAGGATTTGGGCACTATTTCCTTATATAAAACATATCAATACTTGGGCTAGCCCGAAATAACTAAATTACGGTGAAATTGAATTGAATGTCTATATATTTTTATTAAAAAATATACAACAGGAAACAATGTTTATTTTATGTAATCAGAAGTAAGGGAAGTAAGTTTCATGAAGACAGGCATTATTTAAAAATATATATTTTTAAATTAATTTCAGAGAGGAAGGGAGAGAGAGAAACATCAGTGATGAGAGAGAATCATTGATTGGCTGCCTCCTGCAAGCCCCCTCCTGGGGACTGAGCCCGCAACCCAGGCATGTGCTCTTGTCTGGAATCGAACCCGGGACCCTTGAGTCCACAGGCCGATGCTCTATCCACTGAGCCAAACCGACTGGGGTGAAGACAGGCATTTTTATGTGTTTTGTTCACATCTATATTCAACAAATATAGATGATGCTTAATGAATCAGGGTCTCTTTCTCCCCAGGACTCATGTGGCTCAGCTCCCTAGTACTGAACATATATGTCCAGCGCAGTTCCCAGCCATACTCAGAAACTGGCGTATTTCTCTTGGACTCTTTCTTGTTACTCCTGTAGAGTCTTTTCCATCGTTCCTCCCTTGCAGTGCTGATTTCCTGGGACACAACACTGTGGAGTTTGATAAAATGTTGGCGAATTAGGTGTCTGTGGGGTTTGGGTTATTTTTATCAGAGATACAGCCTCAGGACAACATGGTATCTTTTCAACTTGTTACTATGCCATAAAATACACCAGTGTTCTAGTGTTTATAGAGTTAATAGGTAGAGATAAAAAAAAAAAGAGAGAGAAGGGGAATTGATTTAATTATCATTTACATAATGCAGTTTTATGAGCCTATGTAAATTATGCATTGTTGACCTTTAAATTAATTTAGGCTTAATGAGATGGTTTCATTATGTTTAAAGATGTAATATAATTATTTTATTATGTTTCTTATTGCTTTGTAAGCATACTTCTGCTTCGTGTCTCATTAAGGCCCAAATGTATGGCCTTCTTATCGACTCTTTAGCTGTTTTCTGGTGTGAGGTTTGCAGAAGCCTGATCTGACTGAAGTATGGTGTTCCTAAATTGTGTAATTTTCCAGGACACATTGCAGCTTTTGCTTCAACGGAGGCCTACATTTTCAAAAGAGTTAAACATTTGATCTGAAAATGGGCTCTTTAAAAAAGTCGTTTGCAACAGGAATCTTTGTCATGCTGGGCACAAAAGGAAAAATGAATCTAGCATTCAGCCAAGGCTCAGTCTTGGGCCCTCTAGTGTTGGATCTTGGAACTGTAGATTAATTTTGCACATGGCACTGGAGCCTTGAGTCCCCTGAGAATCCCAGGAAATCTGAAAGGAAGGAGGAGGACATTGAATAGGCTGGTCTCTGGCCTCATCACCTTCAGCCACAGAAGCCGCACTGTTACTATTTTCTTCAATTTGGGACACTGCTAACCTCTTCCTTGATAGTATAGTTATTTTAGCGCTTTAAAAATAAAAGTTCACAAGCTAGATTTACTAGAGAATAAGCATATGAAACCTAAGAAAGTGATAGTTCATTTTTGCCATCAGATCTTAGGATTTGGGCAGTATCTCCTCATATAAAACCCATCAATACTTGGGCTTAACCCCAAATAACTAACCTATGGTGAAATTGAATTGAACACCTATATGTTTTCATTAAAAAAATATACAACAGGGAACCATGTTTATTTTATACACTTTGGGTTTCATGCACTCATAGTCAAACAGCCAGGCTTGGGAACGCATTCGCAATACTGAGTTTATTGCTGATCATCAGTGGGCCTTTGGTTCCACTGCAGGGAGTCCCTGGTGGAGGCACCCTTGAAAGGAATTCTCCTGTTCTGTGCTGTGGCTAGTAGTGTCCTCTCAAATCCTTCACTGACGTAGGGAGAGACGTGCAGACCACTCAGCGATGTGTTGAGAACTCTTGGATGACACGGCCCGACGCACTTCCATTCCCATCGCCAGCGCGTCAGACCTGTGCAGGCCATGGTCATCTTGCCTGTAAGGGGAGGCTGGTCTCCCGATCTCTTCGGTCACTTACCCATTTGTGAATTTATGACCAGATGACCGATCTTCAAGTTCGCATCCAATGCACTCCCTAACTCAGTGGTTCTCAACCTTCCTAATGCCGCGACCCTTTAATACAGTTCCTCGTGTTGTGGTGACCCCCAATTTCATTGTTACAAATTGCACATAATTAAAGCATAGTGATTAATCACAAAAACAATGTAATTATATATGTGTTTTCCGATGGTCTTAGGTGACCCCTGTGAAAGGAGCCTGGGTCCCTGAAAGATTGCTGGACTGAGTCCTTTCTCATGCCCTCTGACAACAGGACATGGAAGACAGGTAGGCCTTTACCATGTTGAGTCACTGAGGTTTTAGTGTTGTTTGTGATAGCAGTTAACTTACCCTGGCTAGTACATTCCCCAATCTCTCTGAACCCGTTTCACAGGTAAGGAAATTACTTAATTCACAGTGTAAAGTGACTTAAGTAAGATAATTTAATGTACATACTCGGCACATAGTAAGTGCTCATGGATGTCAGCTGTTGTTATTGGTGAATGTGACTGTGCCCCCAGTTAGAAGAGGGGGCAGATTTGTGTCTGGGAGGATAGTGGTTTAGGAGGAGTGTAACAGTAGGATTGTCATTGTCATCATCGTCATGAAGATGGCACCCGCCATTTACTGACCACCTGATTGGGCCAGGCTCTGTCCTGGGGTGCATCACGTGGTCTCATTTCAATCCCCAGAGGCAGGTATTAGTAACCTCAGTGAGGATCCCACCTGCTGTTGAAGCCGCACAGACTACACAAGCAGTGACGTGGGCAGGCTTTAAACTCTGGGCTATCTGACCTTTACTTCAGAAACGACACCGCGTGTATTTTGAGGAAATGTGATACGTATTTAAAGAAAAGAAAAAAAATGTTTTTAAATGAGGCCTCTACCTGCTTTGCTTCTCATTAGGGAAGTGTTATGTTTTCCTTCTGAAACTTTCTCTACTTCAAGTTGTAGGGACTGGCTTTTATAAATTACTCCTTTGGCTAGAGATCGGCTGCAGATGTGAAAGGCCCCGGTCTCCTTGCCTTCCCCAGGGTCCTGTGACTTCTGTTTTGTTTGTACTCCCGCAGGCTCTGTGTGGACTCGGTCAGTAGAAAAGGGACTGGTTTCTAGAACAATGCGTCTGGGAGTCCTGCGAGTCTCCCTGCAGCTCAAGGCCTCTTGAGAGTAGAGCAGATACTTTAAAGCCCTTTCGATACGTGCATAACCTGAGCTATAATTTCCCAGAAGCACCTCCCATGTCTTTACTTTTGTGTGGAGTGAAGAAAGATTTGTGACCACACGAACAAGAAAGGTTTGGAAAAAAAAATAAAGGTTTGATGAAAACTTCTGAGGTGCTGGTGCTTAAAATCCTGATACTAGATTCACTAGATTAACCAAAGGATAGATTGCTCTTCACAGTTACGTGTACTGTATTCCTTCTTCTTCCCCTTTGAGATAACAGTTTGGGCTTCAGCAGCATAACCCACCCCATAGACCAGTAGTAGATCCATAGGCACAGATTCAGTCATTAGCAACATGGGGTGTCGCTGGACTACATTTGCATTTATATTAACAAGACAATTCCACTTGCAGCGGTTTATGTGGCGCCCACTTGCTGTGTGTTAAGACAGCCGGTAAGGACTGGTTTATAATGTATTTTACTTTCACTGCTCCTCTTCTAGGTCTGATAAAACTTTAAACACAAGAAGCATTTTTCTTTTTTTATCTCACAGATAGTTTTGCTGTCAAAGGCAACGCTAAAGGCAAGGTGAATAAAACTAACTTCTACACTTAGGGTTATTTTTTCAATATTTATGAATGTATTCAGGAAAAAGCCTAGGGCCCTTGCTGCTAGAACAATGGGTTAGATTGCTTTTCTTCAAGAATATTATGTATTAGCAATATAATAATATATCAGTATAGAGTTTCATAGAAATTCTTCTACAGTAAAACTTTGAAAACTGTTTTGTCCTTTAAAAAATAATGTTATCAGGCACTGGCCGAGTAGCTCAGTTGGTTGGAGTGTCGTCCCAATGCACCAGGGTTGCGGGTTCGATACCTGGTCAGGGCACATACAAGAATTGACCAATTAATGCATGAATGAGTGGAACAGCAAGTCGATGTCTCTCTCGAACACGCTCTCTCTGTCTCCCCCCCACCCCTAAAAAAAAAAGTTCTTAAAAAAAATGTTATCAGAGGCAAAAAACAACATCCCCCCCCCCCCCCCCCCCAAAAAAACACTTTGTGGCTGCTTGAAAAATAACACGAGATGGCGCCAGAGAGCCAAAGTGGAGATGGATTTGCTTCTAGGCAGGAGAAAGATCTGAGTGGAAAGGGGGGCCTTTTACCTTCTCTGAAGCCGTGCAGGGGGGTCCCACTTTCTCCACATCGTTGCAACACTTTGTTTTCTTTTTAAGAAACAGCTGCATGGTCTCTTACTGTGGTTTTGATTTGTGTTTCCTTGAGCAATTGGTTTTTACTTATTTTTTAATCCGGATTCTGTTGACAGCTTGTGCTACATGGCCTGGTGGTTAGGGGCTAGGGGTCCGGCGTGTGCTCAAAACCAGTAGCCACGTAAAGAGAAGCCCAGTGCTTAGAGCAGTTAACCAGGGAGGCTCTTAAGTTGATGTGGCCACAGAGGGATTCAGTCCCCTTCCTCAACACCCTCTTCTACCCAAATGGCAGACATCCTGTTCCCACATCTTGAGTAAAGAGCAGCCCACTTTGAGCCCTTCCCTAAGTGGTTTCTAGGGTCCCTCTCAGTGCTGGAGTCTAAGACTGTTACAGGGATTCACTAAGCCAGTTAATTCCCCAGTGTCAGTCGGAACAGACCAGTGTCACCAGCATCACCCTGGGTCCTTGGGAGCCATTCAAGGCTCTTGGCCCACATTCATTCTTCCAGAGGCTGACAGCCATGCCAGGGTTCCTGCCTGTTAGGAACCCTAATCAGGACACATGGATGACACCCAGACTGTCCCACCTGCCCAGCTCAGCTTCTTCTTAATTTTTATTTTTTAAAAACATTTTATTTATTGATTTTTAGAGAGAGAGAAGGAGAGAGATTGATTTGTCGTTCCACTCACTTATGCACTCATTGGTTGATTCTTGTATGTCTCTTGACCAGGGTCAAACCCGCAACCTTGGCGCATCGGGACAGTGCTCCAACCAGCTGAGCTACCCAGCCAGGGCTCAGCCTCCTCTTTGAAACATAGAAGCCAGTGGGCTTCCTAACGAGGCAAAGTGTCCTGTCATTGTTCCTGAAAACACAGAGCAATGCTTGGAGGAAGTGGGTCATCTTGAACTTCATGAAATGTGTTCATCCTTGGGGCTGGACAGAGGGGGGCATAAGGGGCACCTGTAATACTGTCAACAACACATACAATAAAAATAACTAAACAAATAAATGTGTTCATCCTTTGCGATTTGGAAGAGTAAGAAGTATTTTGCAATAGTGCTATAGGTTCACCGAGAAGCCAGGAAGTTTGGGAGGAGAGAGAGGTCAGGGCAGAACACGGGCGTTTTCCTTTCAAGGATCCGGTGGTAACGTTGCAGGATGATTGCTTTTGGATCTTTGCCACGAGATGTGTTTACTGCGCAGGAACAGTCCCTCAAGGCAGAGATAGTATCTGCGCAGGGCATTCCGAGAGCAGCAGAAACAGGCCGGCTCACCGAGGAGGCTTGAGCTGGGGAAGGCCGGCTGATGGGGCAGGAGCGCAGAGAGGAAGGGACGGGCTGGCCCAGAAGGAAGGGCAGAGACCAGAGCTGAGGATGCTGTCTTACATGGTACCAGAAGCTTCCAGAGGTGATGCTGCTAAGAAATTCTTCACGGGGGATGAGAGCTGCAGCAGAAGGTCCCTCAACCATTCGGAGGGACTGAGGAGTGGGGCCTGGGAGACCCCTTCTGGGGAGGCAGCGTCCCCTCTTCTGTCCATTCAGGAAGATGCTCAGCCCACTTTTGCACAGCTCAGCCACTCACCACTCAGCAGAGAACTTGAAAAGCAGCCATAAAAGAGACATCGAGGATTTTGTGGGCCGTAAACCTCCAGGATGAATTTTCCTATCACGCTTTACGAGCATGAGTTGTAAAGCCTTCAGGATGCCGGGCTGCCCCTCCGCGGTGCCCACAAGCGTCCTCCGGAAGTGATGATTGGTGTCAGCTCAGCCAGAGACCTTGGATGATGCAGGCACCGCCCTTAACCCACGGAGCTGGTAGAGGTGATTGTTTTTTCTTGGATGCACAGGGAAGACTGTGCTGTCTTTTTTGAACTTCCTTGTTTGTAGATGAGGTCCTCTATGGCAGCGGTTCTCAACCTGTGGGTCGCGACCCCTTTGGCGGTCGAACGACCCTTTCACAGGGGTCGCCTAAGACCATTCTGCATATCAGATATTTACATGACGATTCATCACAGTAGCAACATTACAGTTAGGAAGTAGCCACGAAAATAATTTTATGGTTGGGTCACAACATGAGGAACTGTATTTAAAGGGCCAGAAGGTTGAGAACCACTGCTCTATGGGGAACTTGGGGGGATCCCCAGTAGGCAGATGTGTGGTCCCCAACAGTACCTGAACACCCTGAAGGTTAAAGAGAAAGATACAATTAAGATATGGATTTATTTCATTTTCTTTTGGTTTAATTATTTGAGTAGATAACACAGTCACTGTATAGACAAATACACAACAAAAAGTTACCCCACCTACCAGTACCTGTCCCCTCCTCCCACGGCTAAGAACTTTCTATACCCACTTGCACAGTTCCTCATGCATATAAAATTCAGAGACACATTCTTATGCCCACCTTGTTTTTAAAACAAGATAATATTTTATAACTAGAGGCCTGATGCACGAAATTCATGCCAGGGGCTCGGCCCTCGCAGCCCCAGCTTCGTCTGGAAGGTCGTCCGGAATGTCATCCGGTCGGTCGTTCGGCTGTTCGGTCTAATTAGCATATTAGCTCTTTATTATATAGGATATTGTTTTATATCTTGCCTTTTCCACTTAATACGTCTGGGAGATGGGTTTTGAAGGAACCTCTGTGGAAGGAAGGGAGTGAGGTGAACAAAACTGTAGATTGCTAAGCCAGATAAAGGCTTTGGGGTTGTTTGCCCAAATCTGTTAGGTTTACAGAGTGGACACCCAAACCTCAGCACGTTTGAGGCTTTCCTCAAGGTCACCCAGTGGCCTCTAACACTTACAAATCATTCCTTAATTTACAAAAGCAAAGTGTCTTCCGTTAAGTGGGGCAGTTAAATGAAATACAAGCCTTCATTTTCGGCCTAATAACCCAGAAGCTTCCCACTGCCCTAAATTAAATCAGCCTCATTAAGGAATGGGGCTTGTGTTGCAAGAAGCCATAGTGCATGGCCTGGTTTCCTCCTGCCCAGAAGGACAGCAGCAATCGGAGCTCGTGGCTTAGGCAGCGATTTTCCGTGCCTTTGTGCTCTCAGTGCTACAGATCCAGCTCCCACACTCACCGAGGGCTCACTTCTGCCTTTCCCGAGAGAGGTGAAGAGGACTCTCAAACTTGTGGTGGTGAATTCAGGCCAACTCTGGAACAAGGGGTAGATTTGCACAAGTGGAAGAGACTAAAGGCCTGAGGTGGGAGGGCGGGAGGGCTAGAAGGGGTCAATGGGGGGAAAAAGGGGACATATGTAATACTTTCAACAATAAAGATAAAAATAAAAAAAGGCCCTAACCGGTTTGGCTCAGTGGATGGAGTATTGGCCTGCAGACTGAAAGGTCCCAGGTTCGATTCCGGTCAAGGGCATGTACCTTGGTTGTGGACACATCCCCAGTCAGAGGTGTGCAGGAGGCCGCTGATCGATGTTTCTCTCTCATCGATGTTTCTCTCTCATCGATGTTTCTAACTCTCTATCCCTCTCCCTTCCTCTCTGTAAAAAATCAACAAAATAAAAAAAAGGACATTAAAAAAATAAAATAAAAAAAAGGGAGCTGACTAAACCCCATCTACTATGGGCACATGATTTCTCCAGGGACTGTGTCCTCTTAAGGGTACATAGCCCCTGACAATGGGCCTGCACTTGAGGCTTGGAAACCTGGTTCTCCCTCCGTTGGCCTTGTTTCTGTGTCGGAGAAAGCGTGACCTGAAAAAGACCTGCTCAGTCCCACTCTGTTCACCTGGCTTGGCCTCAGAGTTGGCTCACTCTCCCTTGGTCGTCGTGGGCCTTGGTGCTGAAACAGGCGTGGCCGTTCCCTGTGTGCGTGGGCAGGCCTTACTTGATAGATGCTATGCCAGATCTGCACCGTGTGTGAAGCCTCTAGCTTGGTGCCTGGCACACAGAGGTTCCCCCAGAAGCAAATCCTGAGACCCAGTAAAGGGCTGGGGGAAACAAGACACGGGCAGGCAGGCAGCCAGGAAGCGGTGTTGCGGAGCCAGCTCCCACCCTGGGTGGCTGGGGCTCGATCCTGTGGGAGATGTGGGCTGGGATAGAGAATGATCCCACCTGAAGGGTGAGGGCGCTGGTTGGTTGAGAGCTGGTGGGCACTGATTCCTCCACTGCCTGCAGATCTTCTGCAGCTTTAAGAGAGCCCTCAGGCACAGATGACACTGGCGGTTGGCAGTCAGCCAGAGCGCGGTCCACAGGTATGAGCAAGGCATGGATAGTGGCCCCCACATCATTCGCGTTATTCTTACCCTCTCGCTTCTGTCTTACATTCTGCCTCGGTGTTAAAGTTTTTCTTACAGACTTGATGCATTTCCAGCCACCAGCTCTCAACTGAGATTCTGTACTAGTATCTTCCTTAATTTGTCTCAAGTGCCACCACATCCTGGCTGTGGCATTGGTGTTTTTTAAATTTCTTGCAGAAATGAGCTGGAATGCAACGCTATGGATCTTGCACATTCCATCTGCCCACCAGGATGCAGTCTGGGAGCGGGTTGCAGTGATGCTTTAAGAACTAGACTTCTCGGTGTTCCCTGGGAGAGAGTAAGCAGCTTGCCCAAGGTCACACAGCTTGTGCATGGCCTGTCTGGCTGCAGAGCCTGAGCCATTTTACTGGTGTCTGCTTTGAGGTATCCCGTGTGGCCCCTTGCTGCAACCTTTTGCAGCAAGGATTCAGAATCTGGAGAAGGGGCCATGTGCAAATGGATACACTAGACAAGAAATATAAATTTGGAAGGCATTGGGGAAACGAGGTGGAGGCCCTTCTCTAGTGGAATGGCTCCCCGAATCTCTGGACCCATAGCTTTTTATTTACTAGAATACACATTTGCCCTTTAGCAATGCAAACAGTCATTTCAATGGTAAGGTTTGGTAAACAATAAAAGGATGATCAGGTTAGGGGATTGCCTTCAACCATTTTGCCAGCAGCAGGTAATAAGATACTGATTATCAGCTCTTGCTGAATACCAAAGTCCATCAGCCTTCTGACGGACCTCTCGCATTTATATGTTAACTACTGCTGGGCTTTGCCTCCAGCAGCCCCTGGCTCTGTGCAGGTGGTGTTGGCCTGGGGACATCTTTGTGAGCTGCTCTCCTGGGGAGCTCCAGTACCTCCCACCTCAACTCCAAAGGGCTGTGGGCCTGATGCCTCAGGAACATACGTGGGGAGCACTACTAAGCCCAGTTTTCCCATGCGGTCCATGGGGCTCACAGGTTGAGAGGCCTGCAGTTGGCCCACAATGGATGAGGGCTGGAGGGGCCTCTGGGTCCTTTGATTCTCCAAGCATTGTGTTTTCACTGTGTTTGGGGTTTGGTCAAACAGGCATGCCCACCCACTGCTGGGTGAGTGCAAACTGGAGACATCCCAGTGGTGGACAACACGGTTATTATCTATCAAAATTCCAAATGCGCAAGGCCATGTACCCAGTAAACCCACTTCTAGGAGGTTATCACGCAGACATACATGTGCGGAAAATGGCTTGTCCATTTAGCGGGTCCCTGCATCACTGTGCTAGTTTGGAACTCGCCTAAGTGGCCATCAGTAGGAGACTGGCGAAAACAGGAGTTAGCATTATACATCCGTGCCAGGAGGTGCCATGCAGCCTTGAGAAAATGAGGCAGCTCAGTGTGTATTGATTTGTTAGAGATAAACACCCAAGGAGCAGACAATGTGTTCATTGTGCTGTAACTTGTGTAGAGAAAGACAGTGTGTGTGTATTGGGTGACTTAGGAGTGTCTCTGGCAGGAGACCCAGACATTAGGAGACTCAATATCGGTTGCCTCGGAGAGGGGAGCTGGGAGGCTGGGGTTGAGGGGGTAAAGGAGGCTTTTCCCATAGACCCTTTAGTAGCTTTTGAATGTCAAATGATATGGCTGTATTGAGTAGCTGCTCAAAAATAAGTAAAATTAGGAATTCTGTGGGTTCTTTTTGCCATATTGCATTTCACTCTGGAATCTAAGTTTCCTTATTTGTAAAAGGAGGAAAAGAATATTTCAGAGAGTGCTGACCCCTGTGTTTGTTTGTTTGTGGCACTTACCACTGCCCTTAACGATTTAATTTTAGGAGCATTGACTTGGTCTGTCTGCTGCTGGAGAGGAGAACTGTGAGGTCAGGTCCTGGGTGTCACTTGCTCAGCACTCTACCTCTGGGACCTGCGTTTGGTGAGTGCTAAACAAAAATATTTTTGGAATAAATAAAAAATTGAGAATACTTTGTTAATTAGAACATGTTCTTTTTTTTTTTTAATATATTTTATTGATTTTTTACAGAGAGGAAGGGAGAGAGATAGAGAGTTAGAAACATCGATGAGAGAGAAACATCGATCAGCTGCCTCCTGCACATCTCCTACTGGGGATGTGCCCGCAACCCAGGTACATGCCCTTGACCGGAATCGAACCTGGGACTTTTCAGTCTGCAGGCCAACGCTCTATCCACTGAGCCAAACCGGTTTCGGCAGAACATGTTCTTTGTGTCTCTTATTATTACTTATAGCATCAAATTGCAAGAGGCAGCGGTGCATATAGACTTGGATGGTCTAGGTTCAAATCTCAGCTCTGCCACTTATTAGCTGTGTGACTGTGGGCAAGTCACTCAACCTCTCTGTGCTCAGGTTTCCTCATTAGCAAATTGGGAGCTGTGGAAGTACCTACCGCATAGAATTACTGCAGGGATACCAAGAGCACATACATCTTAGAACCTCACCAGACACTGTAAATGGGAGGTATGGTCACTTGCCATGACTTTGATACTTTTCCCATTAGAAACACTGATCTCTGGCAGAACTTCTTTCAGAATTTGGCAAGACCTTTAGAAGAGTAGGAATACGTCTTTGCTTGTTTCCTCTTTGAATTCTTCCTTTCCTGGAGCATTAAGGTGGCTCTGAAGAGTCTGTCTTATTTTTCTAGAGAACATCATCTCAGGAATAAAGGCTTCCTAATTTTGAGGGCAGTTGGCTCCCAGGTGATTGGGCAGGCGTTGTAGACGGGGATATTTTTTCTTTCCTTTCTCCACGTCCCCAAGTCCCTGAAAAAAATCCCTCAGCTCCCTGTTGGCCTTTCCTGGGAAGCCATGCCCTTCTCCTTTCTCCCAAGGTCAGCGTGGTTTGGGTTTGTTAAAGCCCTAGAGCAGTGATGGCGAACCTTTTGAGCTTGGCATGTCGGCATTTTGAAAAACCCTAACTTAACTCTGGTGCCGTGTCACATATAGAAATTTTTTGATATTTGCAACCATAGTAAAACAAAGACTTATATTTTTAATATTTATTTTATATATTTAAATGCCACTTAACAAAGAAAAATTAACCAAAAAAATGAGTTCACGTGTCATAGGTTCACCATCACTGCCCTAGAGTCTATTCAGCTTCTCCCTCCGTGGACCTGGGGGAGAGGAAGCTGGCCCGGGAGTCGCAGAGTGCAGCAGGACATCTTGGAAACCCTCTGCTTTCTGTGTGAGCCACTGTGAAGAGACACTTGCTGCAAGCTTCCTGGAAATTGTGGCTTGAGTGGCCTTGATGGAGGCCCACAAGGGAGATAGACAATTGGGGCCTGACGTGCTCCGCACAGCTCCTTAGGAAGTGGGGCTGGGTCCACGGGGACCTTGGCTGAGCTGATCAGAGTGCACTGGAGAGAGGCTGTGAGGACATTAGTCAGCATCCTTCTGCATTCTGTCAGTGTTCGCAGTCCCTTGAGTTTCTGAGTGCTCGCCCCTCTCTGCAGGTGGGGGGATGCAGCCACTGCCCGCTGCCCCGCCCCCCTGAGTCGCCATGCTTCAGGGGGATGCTGGGAAGTTCTCCTGCCGCTGGGAGCCTGGGTGCTGGCTCATTAGTGCCAGGCACCCTCCGCAGCGTGCTGTGCGCCTTTGAAGTGTGTCCTTAAAGGCGCAGCTGCCTTGGGTTGGCTCACTGGACCTGACCAGGTGGCCATGGCAGACAAGCTCAGGAGCTCCGCACACCGCTGCCTGGGCTCAGAGGCCGCAATGAATCTGCTTTCTTTCCAGGAATCTCGAGGCATGTTTGCTTTTCATCTTGTTTCCTGACACAGAATAACATCGTCTCACAGTGAAATGAAACCTCCGTGTTCCCTCCCGCTCCCCGCACCCCATGCAGCTCAGCCATATGGAAACAGCAGTAAACAAAATCACCAGCGTGTCTCAAACCCGAAGGCAGGACAGTGAGTTGGCAGCAGCCTGAAGGGGAGAGAAGAAACCCAACCTCTTCAGATCTTAGGATTTAGCTTCTTATCTGCTGGATCCTGGGGGCAGGATGGAGAAAGAGCCGGAATGTCCTAAGGTGACTGTTTCTCTTTGTTTTGAAGTCCCCATACCCAGAGGTCATGAAAAAGAAACCAGAGCTTGACCTTTCAAAAATAGGAAAAAGCCAAAAAAACCCACCAAAAACCAACTACAAAGAAACCAAACAAACATACAAACAAAACACACACACACCTCACAGCCTGCTCTCTTTGCACCACACCTCCTAAGACCAAAACACAAAGTCAAGGCCACAAATTGGCAGATTGCAGGCTGTATCTGGCTTGCTGTTGTGTTTCGTTTGGCTCACACAGTATTTTTTCCCCCTTAAACTTGAGCCAACAGTTAAACAATGGGAGATTTCAAAGAGTAATCCAGAAAATCTGGGGATGCTGAGCACATACGCTGTTGCAGAACCAGATGGAGCCACGGGGTTGCAAGGGGCTCGTCAGCCCTTAGCGTCTCACTGCCTGTTGTCTTAGTGGGTCTCTGACCCCCGGAGTGCCTGGGTCTGCCATCTGATGTAAAATAGCTGGCACCCATCTGGCCTTGCAGTGTTTTTCTGGATTAAGCTTTCTGGAGCAGTGGGGTATGGTTCTACTATTCTTAGATTCTTCTCCAGATTTGCCTCACACTCCCCCTCCCCCCCCAACTCCTCTGACTGGTTTTATAACCCTCTTTCTGTATTTATATTAAGCCTGGAAGGTAAGCTTCCATTTGAGTCTCTCTGCCAAGACCCTGGCTTAAAGAACTCTGCTATTTGACTTTAAATTATGAGGCTTTGTAAATTTATGAATGTTCTGACTTGAATGGTATTGAGAAAGTGTATAGATGTGTAAACTATGGCATTTTTCCCTCAGTTTTTAATGGAAGTTTCAGATTTGTTCTATAGCCTTGGGCCTTTGTCAGCTTAGTAATATTTAAAAAATTTATATTTTAACTGAAGTTGACACAATATTATGTTAGTTTCAGGTGTACAGCATAGCAATTAGACATTTATATCCTACAGAGGGATCGTTGTGACAGTAGTGTTTTCAAGGAATCTGCCTGTTTCATCTAAGTTGTATTTGTTGGCAAAGAATTGCTCCACAAAATATCTGTCACTGTCTGCAGGCTCTGTAGTCGTGTCCCTCCCTCATTTTTGATAACCGGAATGTGTACATCTAACTAGTTCTTAATATAGCTGTTCTTTGGACATGTCCCTGCAGCCACACAGACTGTACCAGCCTAGATTCATCAATGGCCTCTTTTTTTTTTTTTTAAGGCACCAACCACATCCTGGACCATACTGCAGACACCACTGGGCCAACCAGTCGCTGCTCAGAGAGTGCTGTGCCCTCCTTCCCCCCTGGCACGCAGCCCGGCCACATGCCTGGAGCTTCCGGTTCTTCCTGAACACACAGAAGCACCTCAGTGGTTATGGGATCTGGCAACTGCACGTTCAGGTGAGGTTCACCTGTGGGGCGGACACTGACTAATGGGAAACAGGAGGAGGGGCGAGCTGACCAGGGCCGGGACTAGCGTGAGGTGAGGAGGCATTGATGGCCCAAAGCAATAGGTCACCCACGCCGGTCCCACCTGTACTCCAGCCGCTTCGCTTTTCTCACGCTTTCTCCCCCCGGAGCTGGCAGATTAAGCTCGCTCTGTCCTTCTCCCATGGACTGCTCTCTGAGGGCCAGTTTCTCCTCGCAGCCATTTGTCCCCACGTGTGGAGCGAATCCACCTGGCTGTTGACCTGTGTGTCTCTTCGTGGCTTGTTGTGAACTTCGTACTGCTTCCCTCCTTTCTCCGGTCCCTTCTCTTTCCTCACCCAGGGACAGTGTCCCCCAGATACAGTGCAAACCCTTAATCCTTGCCTCAGGCTCTGTTCTTTAGAGGACCTGGGCAAAGACAGCATGGAAGTCTAGAGCAGGACGCCAGATGAATTTGACTTTGCATTTGCATTTTTACCTTTTAATGAGGTATTGTAACAGAAAAATATTAATTATACTTTAAAAAATATATTTTATTGATTTCAGAGAGGAAGGGAGAGGGAGAGAGGGATAGAATCATCAATGATGAGAGAGAATCATGGATCGGCTGCCTCATGCACATCCCACACTGGGGATCCAGCTCACAACCCGGGCATGTGCCCTTGACTGGAATCAAACTTGGGACCCTTCAGTCCATAGGCCGATACTCTGTCCACTGAGCCAAATCAGCTAGGGCTAATTATGCTTTTCTGAAAAAAAAGTAGAGGCCATTAAATGGATGTTCGCAGGTAGGATTTGCAGTTTTCTTAGATCTATTTGTCTTTTTCTTTTAAATAGAGCAACCATTGAGGACTCAGGCAATTTCACGTAAAAACCCAGATTTTCACTCCTTTAGGAACACTAGAGGGTCTGGCCCTTCTAGATGGGGCGGCGCGAACAGTGAGGGGCGTGCCCCTTCCCTTCATTTATGGAATCTGCCTGGCTCCTGGCGGGCTTTTGCGTGAAATCTCCAGAGTAAAGGGAAATTCAGCTAGAAGTCTTGTTGGGATAGCAATCGCTTCTCAGGGGCTTGTCCATGGTGGCTAATGGCTTACAGATTCTGAATCATCTGGCCCAGTTAGAAGTGTTTTTTTTTTTTTTAAATATATTTTATTGATTTTTTTACAGAGAGGAACGGAGAGAGATAGAGAGTTAGAAACATCGATGAGAGAGAAACATCGATCAGCTGCCTCCTGCACATCTCCTACTGGGGATGTGCCCGCAACCCAGGTACATGCCCTTGACCGGAATCGAACCTGGGACCTTTCAGTCCACAGACTGACGCTCTATCCACTGAGCCAAACCGGTTTCGGCAGAAGTGTTCTTTGATTGATGGCAGGAGTCAGATTAAATATTGTGGAGCATGTGCCAAGTCCCCTCCTGTGTATGCTGGGCACACTCACCCTGACAAAGTGACAGCCTCTTGAGAGCTCCAGAATCGGGAGGGAGGGGGCTGTATCAACTTAGCATCAGTAGCACCGTGAGGAAACTTGGCAACAAAGCCTCTGAGGATTAGAACGTATATTACATATATAGTGTTTGTAATGCATATATACTACACACTAGCATATATTTAATATTATCCTATATATTATACTATATATTATACTATACATATTAGCATATACAGTGTTTGTAATATATATACTGGCATATATATAATATGCTATACACTACATATTAATAGTATATCTAGCATACATTATATACTAGCATATATAATAGACTATATACTATATATGAGTAGTATATACTAGCATACGCTATACACTAGCACATATATAATATTAAACCATATACTATATATTATATAGTATATTCTAGTATATAAGCTACTAGTATATGTATGTTATATATTGCATATAATAATATATATGTGTCAGCATATATATATAGTCTGTATGTACATATGTATTTATATATAAAGTATTGTATGAATGTATATAGTATATAATATATATGTATGTATGTGTATGTATGTATGTATATATATATATAGTATTGTATGAGTGTATATAGTATATAATATATATGTATGTATGTGTGTGTATGTGTATATATATATATAGTATTGTATGAATGTATATAGTATATAATATATATGTATGTATGTGTGTGTGTATATATATATATATAAAGTATTGTATGAATGTATATAGTATATAATATATATGTATGTATGTGTGTGTATGTATATATATATATATATATATATATAGTATTGTATGAATTTTTTGACGCCTCTTGGAATGTAAAACACTGAGCCACAGGCTCCAGGTTGCTGGCCCTGGTTGTAAATTGCTGGTCAGTAAAACGATGCTTATCTCAGGATGTGCTCTATCTTATCTCTTTATCAGTCTTCCTCATTTCCTTCCTCTTCTTGGTTTCAAACGCTAGGTCCTGGCAGCCTTCCACAAGCAACTCAGCTGAGTAGTAGGGAAACAGCATGTGGAAACTAGCAGATTATTCTCTCACTTCTCCTCCATGACTGACACCCTACCTTCTTACAGTTGAATGGTACTTGAATATTTTTAAAGTGCTCTTACAGTGTTCGTTTCATTAGATCCCTCTAAGAGACCCGTGTGTAGGATAGAGCAGACAGCACCTCGAAATAAGATGCAAAGAGAGGCCCAGCGAGGCTAAGTGATTTGTCCTGTGCTGGTCAGCAGGGCGGTCAGAGAGCAGGGACTCAGGCCCAGGTCTTCAGTGTTTTCCCACCCAACTTCCCACCTGTCAAATGGGGGCATTATCTAGTTTAATTCCTCAGCCAGGACTGATGGAAGCAGTATTTTTAAAAATTATGGGATGCAACCGAGTAGTGAAATCAACTTAATCGGGGCAACCAGTTTTTACAAATGAAATAGAACAGACCATATCAAAGCACACCTCATACAAAGACACATATTGTCCGGTAAACCTTTCGATGTGAGTGTGCTGCCCATACGGGTTTCCAGGTTCTGGCTTTTCTTGGCCGGGAACAGGGTCCCATCCTAAGGTACAGACTCTGGATGCTGTGAAGGTGCTATTTGAGCTGAGTTTTGAGGTTATTTCAGGGACAGATTGCTGGGATGTGTTGCTCTTGCACATCTGATAGTCTGGGGCAGGAACGCACCTCACAGATGATAGGCGCGCCAATGTGCCTTCAATATTGGACTAAAAAGCAAACAAAAAAACAAACAGAGAGACTGGGCATCCCTGCCTAGAAAGGCCAGAACCAAAAAGATCAGCAGCTACTAGCTACTAGTACCATGCTAACATGATCTTAAAGAAGGAGTAACATTTGAATACTCTGTTCTGAGCATCTGACGAATAAATGCATGGACCTCAGAGCGAACGGGGGCAGAGCCTGTGCTGGGCAGAAACCTGGGGCAGGAAGAGGGCAGAAGCAGATATAATTCAAGGAGTAAATGTGACTTACGGCTGAGAAGGAGGACAAGGCCAGTCCTGGGAGGGCTGTATCATGACTCAAGGGAGTTAAAGGGTGGAGGAGTGGAGGACAAGTCAGCGCAGTGACCACGAGCAAAGGGAGGGCGTGGAGAAGTGAGAGTTTCCCAGCAGGCGCTGCCCAGAGGGCTTCCAGGCGGTTTGCACTGACTCTCTGATCAAATGGTTACGAGTGTGAATGATTACGTAGTCAGTTTACATTGGGTCACTGAGAAAACCCAATAAAACGAAAGCCAATCAATCAAAAAAGGTGGTTAATAAAACATAAATGCACTTTAACATGAAGCACTCTTTCTAATTGATTGCCTGCTTGACCAACTTTTCTTGCAGATGCCCAGTGGGAGAATCGCATCCTCATAAATCATAGTCAAAGAGAACATATTCTCTTAAGGATGCAGTAGTTTCCAACTGTGGTTTTTACTACATATGGCGGTTTCCCTCTGTTGGACCATAGCTCTGAGGTGGCGTGGAAGTCAATGAGAACACGTGAGAATTTACAAACATTGGTTTTACATAAAGATTTTCAACGGGCAACCTAAAGAAACAGTGAGAATGGGGTTGCTAACAATGGTGACATGGTGATAGATTGCTTGTGTATATAAAGGCTTGTGTATGTAACTGTAGAGGAAAAGTCATAAAATGACTTGGGGTCTAGAAAGAAATAGAGGCAGAGGCAGGCTAGTGAGATTGAAAGATAGAGATAGAGATAAGAAGAAGGAGGAGGTAGAGGAAGAGAGGGAGAGGAGAAGGGGGAGGAAGGGGGCAGCACTAAATATTTCTATACAGATAACATATGAATATATGTAAGTATGTATATAAGTAATTATATAAACCATACATACGTGCATATACAGGACTCTTTTTTTTTAAAAAAAATATTTTATTGATTTTTTAGAGAGGAAGGGAGAGAGATAGAGAGTTAGAAACATCGATGGGAGAGAAACATCGATCAGCTGCCTCCTGCACACCTCCCACTGGGGATGTGCCCGCAACCCAGGCACATGCCCTTGACCGGAATCGAACCTGGGACCCCTCAGTCCGCAGGCCAACGCTCTATCCACTGAGCCAAACCGGTTTCGGCAGGACTCTTAACAGAAAGGACAGTGATGGTGTTCCTGGTCCTGCGTGCACAGGTGCCCATGACAGCCTCTTCTGCTGTTATTGTACTTTCCTCCCCCTGTTGACCCTATGGCTGACTTCCCTTCCTGTGGCTACACTGAGCCCTCAAGGTGATAATGGTGGAGCTAACCGGGAGAAGGCCATGGTCATGGTTGGACTGAGGACCCTGGGGTTGGGGGGTAGTGGGGATGGGCGTGTTGAATCGAAAGCCGCGACAGACAACAACTGTGATAGCTGCTTTGTGATGGGAAGCTCCCGAGAGGAGCAGGAACGCCAGCTCACGTGCTATACTGGTTCCCGGGTGCACTGGGCACTAGCAGGCCCCAACCACATCCTCTCACTCTTCCTTAGTTCCTAGAGGTACCGTGGATGGGCACTGAAGGGCAGGAGGCCCTTTGGTTGACAGCTGGTGTTTGCCTCTCGGGGGATTTGCTCTGCTTAATCCCGAGTAGGAGTGGTCTATGTGGGGAAATCTTGGTGCCATATTCATCTCAGCAGAGGGGCCCTAATGAACTTGTTTATCAGCCCAGCTTCCCAGGTCCTAGAGCCGGTCTGGTTTTCCCTCCCTAGGAGCAGTGGTTCAACTCTACATTCCATCCTGCAAGTCATCCTGTATCCTCCCAACAGATTCCCATTTTGCTTAAGAGAGGTAGTTTTGGCCGAAACCGGTTTGGCTCAGTGGATAGAGCGTCGGCCTGCGGACTGAAAGGTCTCAGGTTCGATTCCGGTCAAGGGCATGTACCTGGGTTGCGGGCACATCCCCAGTAGGAGATGTGCAGGAGGCAGCTGATCGATGTTTCTCTCTCATCGATATTTCTAACTCTCTATCTCTCTCCCTTCCTCTCTGTAAAAAATCAATAAAATATATTAAAAAAAAAAGAAATGAAAAAACTTAATAAAACAGGTTAAAAAAAAAAAGAGGTAGTTTTGGTTGCTTGCACCAAGGGTCTTAACTGGTGCAGTGGTTATGCTTAGTAATCGTTTTTTTTTTTTTTCTTTTTTTACATGAAATGGTTATCCTTGGGTTGCGTTTCAGCATGGTGTTCAAAGGTAAGGTGGCTGAACACGGAGGCAGCCAGATTCACGGTCTTTGTCATTCTTCCATGTTAGGCTGTTCTGACTTCTCTCAGCATTTACTGTCTCTAAAGACAATGCCATCCTCCTTTTAAAAAATATATATTTTTATAGATTTCAGAGAGAAAGGGCGAGGGAGAGAGATTCTCAACCACTGAGCCACACCGGCTGGGCAATACCACCCCTGTTTTAGCTAACACAGAGCCCATGATGCATGAAAAATGCCTAAGTTAATTTTCTTAACATCTACCTTCGGCTTTCTTAGGGGGAAAAAATTGTGCATTCCCTGATGTACAATTCCTTTAGCTAAATTCACATTTTAGCTTTGATTTTGTTTGCTTCCACCCTTTTCTGGTCGGCTTGGCTAGGGAACTCAGTCACGTGTGGCTGGAAGCCGTCCTTTGCTTGCTCAGAAGGCTTGGAACCGGGGGAGAGAAGAATGAGCCCAGGAACGGTCTGTGGCAGTTACTAGACCTCTGAGCTGCACGATTTCGACATTGTTCCCAGTAATAGAAACGAGGCTGAGCGGTCCAGACGGGGCAGTCTGATCCTGACCTTCTGGAGTGGGGATTAATGGCTTGGGATGTAGTCTGGGTCTGGCGGCACCAGGCAAAGCTTCTTGCCTTTGATCCTGGATGATTTTATTAGGTCCTTGCTCTCCTGGGATGCACACAGGGCACCTGCTCAAAATAACACTGGATTCAAGAAGCAAGGAGCTGGGGAGAGGACTTTACTCAGCCCCCCCCCCCCCCATTGGAGACGCCCTCAGAGGCCGCCTTGACTCATCTCATCTTCATCTCATACAGGAGGGACCAGTTGAGGGTAGGGCTGACTCCTGTCCCAGAGCAAGAGGGCAGGAGGCCCCTGTCAGTCCTCGGAAGGGTCAGGCGGAAAAGAGCACCAAGATAAGTCGCCAGAGAAGGATTCTTTGTGGGTGTTGGCGTTTGAGCACATGTAGAATTTAGGCCTATCAAAAATGGTGGGAAAAGTTATTCCAGATAGATGAATGCCAGACAGTACAACTTCAAATAGTTGTACTGTCTCCCGTTGTTCTGTGTAATTTTCTATGTTACAAGATTATTAAAATTTTGAAGGCAGAAGTCTTTTTTTTTTCTTTCTTTTTCCTTTTCTTTAAGGCAGAAGTCTTGTAGTGAGTCTTAGTGTCTTCCAGCATGTTAGAATATGCTAGGTAAAGATGTGTACATGATCCGCTGGGCTTTTTTTTTTTAGAGAGAGAGGAAGGGAGGGGGGGAGACAGAGAGAGAAACATCGAGGTGAGAGAGACACATCAATTGGTTGCCTCCCACACGCACCCACTCCTGTAACCTAGGTGCATGCCGTTGACCAGAATCGAAGCCGGACCCTTCAGTCCACAGGCTGATGCTCTATCCACTGGGCTAAACTGGCTAGGGCCAGCTGGGCTCTTTTATATTCAGACGAGATCGGGCGCGTTCAGGGTGGTATGGCCACAGACGGCTCTTTTATATTCAGATGATGAAATGTCCTTCCCTCTGCTCACAGTTGACCTTCACTTCGACCTGTTGGAGTCAGGCTGCAGCCAGGAATACTGCTAATTGACTGCTTTTCAATCCAACGGCTCATATGAGATGGACCAAGAGCACTTAGCTGTTATAAACCAGCATTGAATTTGGCTTCTTTTCACCTCCAGCCACCAAGCAGCTGTCAGGAGCCACTGACTTCAAGTCAATTGCTGGGCCTCAAATTTATTGGGTGAGTCATTGGCAACCTCTGAATGTTTCCCAGTGAGCCAGTTGCCCAGAACGGGGTTTTGAATGAAAAGTTCATGTATTGCTTGGAAAGATCATGGCAGTTGTGGCTATAGAGGCAGAGAGGGGGCAGTGGTAGCGGTTGGCCTCTGCCCGGGGCGGTAATGGTGGGGCATGAAATGGAACTCTTTCCAGCTGGGTGGGAGAGCAAAGCTCAGAACATAAATATTTCACTTTGATGCTCATCTAAGGTCAAGCTGCAAGAAGCTCTCTTAATTGTGGGGTGAGCTAGCAGGTTGTATGCTTTTTGTTGTTGATATGTTCAATTTATTTTTATTATTATTTTTTAAAATACATTTTTATTGATTTCAGAGAGGAAGGGAGAGGTAGAGAGAGAGAGAGAAACATAAATGATGAGAATCATTGATTGTCTGCCTCTTGCATGCCCCCTACTGGGGCTTGAGCCCGCAACCCGGGCATATGCTCTTGACCAGAATCGAACCCGGGACCTTTCAGTCCACAGGCCGACGCTCTATCCACTGAGTCAAACCGGCCAGGGCGATATGTTCAATGTAGAAGAAGGGGTGGAACAAACTCACAATGCCACCTTGAAGAGTGTGGGCTGGCGGCAGATCCAAGCCCTCCAGAAATCAGCCTTGCAATGTACGCTGTTGGCCCCGTTGCTTTAGGGCTCTGTGCTAAGGTAGTAAAAAGTTCTCCCAGAATTCAGAAATTTCACTCAGTGGAAATTCATTTGTTAAGAATTGCCCTCTCTGCATAGGAGACAGGAGGCTAAAGTGATCAGTTCTTAGGATCTTGAAGTGAATTAACTTATCAGATCACTTTTATTTCTTTTTTTTTAATAAAAATTTTCTTTATTGATTTCAGAGAGGAAGGGAGAGGGAGAGAGAGATAGAAACATCAATGAGAGAGAATCATTGACTGGCTGCCTCCTATACAACACCTACTGGGGATGGAGCCCACAACCCAGGCATGTGCCCTGAATAGGAGTTGAACCATGGCCTCCTGGTTCATAGGTTGATGCTCAGCCACTGAGCCACCGGCCCAGAGTCTTCAGTCCCTAACACCCTGAGCTGCTGAACCTGTGTCAGCTATCCAGCTATCACCCACCTCCGGATACTTCTTGACATGAGAAAAATGAAACCTTATGTGTTATTTGCAGTTGAAAATAATTTGTATCTTCATGTCGTTCCTCTTACAATTTATGGCTAAAAAACTGTTGCCAACTGTGCTAAGACAGGGCCCACAAACTGCATCTATTTCTGTCATGAATTGAACTCTAGTGGCTATTCGCTGGCCACTTGGAGTGTTTTGCTTCTACTGCCTTGTGCCCTGGGAGGACTCCGTTTCCCACTGTGGTCCCTCTATTTGGACTACTTCAAAAATCTGTATATGTGCACTGCCTTTATGTCATGAAACACAAACCTGGGCATTCACATCTTGCAGCAGGTCTCTTAAAAAGGTATGACCAGATAATGTACCCTAGTCATATTTCAGATGACCAGCAAACATAAACAAAATAATTCTGCAGAACTCCTGGATCTCCAGGGAGATGTCTGTGGAGCCCAGTTTGAGAAACACTGGCTGGAAAATAAAACCATCTGTCCCTTTAGGGAAGACACAGTTGAAGCGGCCTCTTTTTCATTTCTTCAGATCCCTGAGAGAATATCCGGCTATGAAGAGTCTGAAGGGAAGGGAGCAGCAGGGGCCTGTGTAAGGGCTTTAGAAAGGATGGTACCAACCGGGAATGGTTGGAGTTTTCCAGAAGATGGAGGGAGGGAGGGGGACAAAGGGAATTGATGTTGACAATAGCTAAGTTAGGGGTGTTTGGAAAGACCCAGTGCAGCAATTAAGAGCTGAAGGGCAGCTAGCCCAGTGCCCTGAGGCAGAGGTTCTCACCCCCAGTTGCCTATTAGAATCACCAGGGGAGCCCTTTAAGGAGCTGATGCAGGACCCATCCCTGGAGGTTTGAATTAATGGGTCCGGGGATTGGGTATCAGTCTTCCTAAAAGTTCCCTTGGGGATTCTAATGTGTAGCCACTGTTTTAGGGAAGCTTTCTCTATGGTGTAAGGCAGTGGTTCTCAACCTTCTGGCCCTTTAAATACAGTTCCCCATGTTGTGACCCAACCATAAAATTATTTTCGTTGCTACTGCATGACTGTAATGTTGCTACTGTTACGAATCGTCATGTAAATATCTGATACGCAGGATGGGCTTAGGCGACCCCTGTGAAAGGATCGTAGGACTGCCAAAGGGGTCTCGACCCACAGGTTGAGAACCGCTGGTAAGGCCACCGTATTAATTTATTTCATGGGGGAAATAAATTATTTATAAATGTTAGATGCTAATACTATTTCATATTATTAAAGAGTTAGCACAGTGCATCCTTATTGAATGCACTGTGCTAACTCTTTAATAATAACAAATAGTATTAGCATCTAACATTTATTGAAAGCTTATTATATGCCGGGTGTTAGGTTAACTACTTTACACTCATTTAATTTTCACATTTAATTTTCTCTATGAAGTGGATATTATTATCTCCATTTTACAAATGAGTAAATAGAGGCTCTGTGAGGCCAAGAAATTTGCCTGAAGTCATTCAGGGACAAACAAATAAATATGTAAATGAAAGTAATAAGTTGCCCAAGGTCATGTGGGTAGGGGAACAGGATTTGAACCATGGCTTTTAGCTCTTTTGCTGCCCCAATTAATTGCTATCTCAACGAACACATTTAGTAAATGTTTTTGACAATGTACCATATATGTCCCTGACATTAGGTTAGATTTTGGGAATGTGAACATGAACAAGGCAAAATTTCTCCTCTCCCGTCTGGTCAGAAAGACAGTTAATTCCAGAACAATGTGAGCAATGCCATTGCATGACCACACGCCCCCGGTGCCCGGGACTCTGGTTTTAGCAGTCCAAGTCGTCCCTCATTCTGGGCAGCTTTCAGTTCTAGGCGACATACAAAGTTGAGGGGATTTTGTTAAGTGATGAGAGACCAGAATGGGAAGTATCCAGTAGAGGATTGAAGGTTCAGGGGAAAGTGGAGGCGACTGATGGGGCAGAGCCTTAGAGGAGACAGAGGAGCCGATCAGAGTACGGTGCAGGGGATGGTCTCGAACGGGAGGAACATCGCTGAGATGGAATCGGAGCAAGGAAAGAGGAAGAGGACTCGGGAGGGGTGTGGAGATGGAAGGGTCTGGAGTGGGGCTAGGAGGCAGCCACAGAGGCGGGAAGGTTTGGAACTCACACTGGGGGCAGGAGAGAAGGTGCCACCTGGGGCCATCCCCACACTTCTTCCTGTGTCCCCATTCTGTGCCTGGGCCCAGCCACGTGTGGCTCAGCGCTTGAGCGTCAACCCAGGAACCAAGAGGTCACCAGTTGTAGGCTCGATCCCTGTCGGGGGGCATATGGGAGGCAGCCAATCGATTATTCCCTCTCATCATGGATGTTTCTCTCTCTTTCTCCCTCTCCCTTCCTCTCTGAAATCAATAAAAAAATATCTTTTTTAAAAAGACAAAACGCTCTGCCTGGGAATTCAAACAGGAATTTGTGCAAATGCAAAACCTAATGCAGGCCTTCTCTGAGAGGCTGGTGACACCCACTGTGGGAATCACAGCGGGACAGGCATGGAGAGGGTGCCTCTGGACATGGAGTGGCTCCTCTGGGAATGCAGGCCCTGATGGAAACACTCAGAACGGCAGCTGGTGTGTTCTCATCAGGCAGGCTGGAGTCGGCCTCACAGTGGCTCTTCAGTTTACAGACACCATGGGAGGGTGAGCTGCCCCCATCACCCCCCTCAGCCTTGCCAGAGAAAGAAGTCTGTACCCCCTTTAGTTCTGCCCAGCTGGTCTTTGCCTTTCAAAATCTTCATTTTGAGAAGAAAAAGAATGAACGTGACTTTGATGTGTATTAGACAAAAAGGAGCTCAGCAGATGGGCCACCCTTCGCTTAGGGGTTGGGGCCCTCCTCCCATGATGCACTTGAGGACTTTGTGTCCTATTAAAAGCCCGTAAAACGTGCTCTGTGGGTGGCACCCTTCGCTGCAGTGTGATTGGCCGGGAGGGTTCCATCAGCCACTATTTTGTCATCCCTCGTTGTTGGCGGGCTCTCCTAGGGGACACTTGAGAAACTTTGATAGAAATATTTCTCTTTGGCAACAGCCCGCTGTTTCCATGGTTGGACAATGCTAACCAGATGTGAAGTAGGCCAGCAAAGGAGAGGCCTGCCCCGGGGAGAGAAGGCCCGTCACACACTCACGTCCAACCCTGGACAAGTCAGATAACCTCACGGGGCCTCTTTTTTCCTAATTGTTGATCTGGAACAAAAATCTGAGCCCCAGTTACCTTCCAGTGTTGGGAGAATGAATGTTCATGAACTTGGAAAAATTTTTAGTTCTTTTGGTGATTAATTGTCAAGTCCTTTGGAGGATATATTTCAGAAACGAAGGAAGTAATAAACAAAGCAGCACTTAAAGGTAATGATGTCACCCTAGCTGGTTTGGCTCAGTGGATAGAGGGTGGGCCTGTGGACTGGAGAGTCCCGGGTTCGATTCCAGTCAAGGGCACATGCTTGGGTTGTGGGCTGGATCCCCAGTAAGGGGGCATGCAGGAGGCAGCCAATCAATGATTCTCTCTCATCATTGATGTTTCTATCTCTATCTTCCACTCCCTTCCTCTCTGAAATCAATAAAAAAATGTAATGATGTTATTTTTGCACAGGTCGAATAAACTACTGTTTGCCATTCTTACAGATCCACTAATGTAAATAGTTTTCCCATCTCATATTGGCAGAACATTTTTAACCTAATTTTTCGAAAAGGTAATAACTCACATGGCTCAGTATTCCAAATGAAGCCCGGCTGGTGTGGCTCAGTGGTCGAGTATCGACTCATGAACCAAGAGGTCCCGGGTTTGATTGCCAGGCAGGCTACATGCCCAAGCTGCGAGCTTGATTCCCAGTAGGGGGCGTGCAGGAGGCAGCTGATCAATGTTTCTCTCTCATTGATGTTTCCATCTCTCCATCCCTCTCCCTTCCTCTCTCTCTCAAAAATTAATAACAAAATATTTTTTTAAATTCCAAATATGTGAAAGAGTTTAGTCATTATCTTGTGCCCCTGCCCCATCCCAGGGTCCCTCCCCATAGATATAATGACTAATGGGTCCTGGTTTTCCTGGGACTTTCTGGTTTAGCACTGAACTTCCCGTGTCTTGGGAAGAACCGTAGTCCCTAGCAGACTGGTTGGTTCCCCTGTATTATATGGAACCGAAATTATGAATTTGCTGTGCACCTTTTGCAGATAACCTGACAAGAGCAATCAGACTATCTTAAACATCATCACAGGTGATGAAATGAAGATTTCAAAAAAAAATAGCGCATGATATTGCGGGGACTGGGGACCCATAACAACACTGAGGCCCAAGTCTTATGGTTTAACAATTGTTTTTAAGCCCTCGCGGCTCTGGAATTGCTGTCCTCCTGTCAAAGAAATCTCGCTGTCAGGCGTGGGGAAGAGTCACAGAAACGTCAACAGCGTGGCTCTATTTCCCACAGCGTGGCTGATCTGGCTCCAGGATCCCTTTGTTTATAATTTATTTTTGTAGAGTTAAATAAGCATCTGTGTACCGGGGGCTTGGACTTTGTAAATACGGGTATTTGCCAAGTGATCTTGTCGAGTTCCCTGTGTGATTGTAACTGATTAGGGAAAGCCCAGTTTCAGAGAAAGCATAACACGGTCCTTTATCAACTGTGAACTGAGAACAACACTGGGAGGCCCTTTCCAGGCTAAAAATAGACCTAGAACTCAGTGTATTTTAGCTCTGGGAGGTTCACAAATTGCCTGGCAAACCAGCACATTATTATTTTATGAATCAGCACCAGCCTTCCTTTTAAATGTTCTAGCTTCAGGCTATTTCACTTCTGTGCAAAGAAAGATGAATTATTTATAAAAATGGGCATGAATATCATATGATAATACCCTCATTTCTAGCAGGGAATAACATGAGCTGCGGCTGGTACTCTGTCAGCTCCCCAGGAGAGCTGATGGGAGCAAGCTGAGAATGGGCTGCATCCTTTGGAAGGGGCTGATGTTAAGATGCAGGATGTTGTCCTCGGAGGATGCTCAACTCTCCCCCTCACTCATGTTCTCTGACTCTCTTATCTTCCCTCCTTCCTTCCCTCTTTCATCCTCCCTCCCTTTCTTCCTCCCTCTCTCCATCACTGAGCCACACCGGCTTGGCTAAAGTAGTCATTTTTTAAAATATATATTTCATTGATTTTTTACAGAGAGGAAGGGAGAGGGATAGAGAATTAGAAACATCGATGAGAGAGAAACATCGATCAGCTGCCTCCTGCACACCCCCTACTGGGGATGTGCCCACAACCCAGGTACATGCCCTTGACCGGAATCGAACCTCGGACCCTTCAGTCCACAGGCCGACGCTCTATCCACTGAGCCAAACCGGTTAGGGCTAAAGTAGTCATTTCTTAAACATTGGTTGCAATGTGAAATCTGGAACCATACCAGTGAAATTTTGTACTCTGTTCCATCTCAATCCATTGTTTTTTCCTGCATTTTGAATGGGTCTTTTACCCATACAAGATTTTGTGACATTGTGTGTGCATTGGCCATTTGGGGACATTGCTGTGCTGATTTATGTAGCTCTTCCAAATCCATCATACACCATCCAAACCCTACACTTTTTAGTATCGCCACCAGGCTCATCAGAAAGCATCTGAATTGACAAGTTGTCTAAAAATTCAAAATTTCACTTGCAGGTTTGCATTATCATCATTGGCTACAATACTGTTAGTTGTTATCTTTGAAGCGACAGGCTCACCTTGTTCATTTTTGAGAAAATGCCTGCCAAAGGCCAGGTCTGAAGTTTAAAACTTCAGATTAAACACGGTGTTCCTGAAAAACGTGGGAAGTTCAGTTTTCCCATGTGCTTTTTCTTGAGACAATCATCATGCTTCAGTATGCAGTAGAAGTGATTTATTCATACTTACCATCTCATCACATAAAATATTAACATGATCTGTTCTCAAGGGTCAAGATTTAAATAATTTCATGGCTAGATCAATGGCATTCTGAAGTAAAACTGGCTTTCTTTTTTTCTCTAGTGCATGGTTGTGAAGAATCCAGTTGCTATGAATATAGCTTATCTTGACTTATGCTAGGGTACCATCGGGTTTTATCACCATTTTGCACCATTAGTGCAAATGTTAAATCAGTGAAAATGCCAAATAACATCTTAGTGTTATTACGGAACTAGTTTTGAGTTAGCAGGCTTCTGGGAAATGGCTCAGGCACTCCAGGAGTCTACAGGCCACATTTTTAGAACTGGCAGTTGATTTTAGGAGCAGCCCAACATGCTTCCAATAAACTCCCTTTTTCTGAAATCAGCCAGAGTTTCATTGCCTGTCATCATTGTTCCGTGTTTAAAAAGGTCATGTTTATGTTGGTTGAATCAAAATGTCTAAGGAACTCTAATTTAAGGGCATTTTGTAAGTAAGTCCTTTGTTGTGATGATTTGCCGATTGAATGAACTATTCTGTTTTTATTTTTTTTAAATACTCATCCAAGGATATTTCCCCATTGATTTTTAGAGAGAGCGGAAGGGAGAGGGAGAGACACAGAGAGAGGAACATGGATGTGAGAGAGAGACATCAATTGGTTGCCTCCTTCATGGGCTCAGAATAGAGCTGGGGATCAGGCCTACAACTGAGGTATGTGCTCTATATCAGAGTCGAACCCGCAACCCTTCAGTCTGAGGGCTGATGCTCTATCCACTGAGCCAAACCGGCTAAGGTGAAAGATTCTAAAATTTCACTGTTCTAAAAATATCCAGTCTTTATGCTTTCTGTATTCGTGGTGGTAAGTCATTGTTACATAGTCAAACAAATCTATGCTGATCCTTGAATTGTGGCAAAAGAAGGGTTAGAGTACTAAGTCATGTTTTCTCTGTTCTTATGGCTGCTTCCAATGACCTTTCTGAGCTAAGTGTGACTCTCCTCACTTTAGACATCAAAAAAACACAACTTGCATTTGGTGGTTAAGTCCTTGGCCAAGGCCAGTCAGTGGTCAAACCTCTCTCTTATCCTGACTGAAAGGCTCTCAAACCCAGTACCTCTTTGCTCTACCACATACGAATCTCTGATAAGGACAAAAACATGAACCCGTGATGCGAGGTTTATGCCAGTGCTGCAAAATCATGGACGTCTGAGATGGTTCATTAGGAATTTATTTTGTAAATTATATCGTGATGACATGATAAAGCTGGCTCTGTACCGAAGCAACATTTTTGACATGCCAGGAAGTCGTATTTTCGAGTTGGAAGAGACTTGAATCATGTGACTTGTCCAAATTTCTCACCACCAGCGCATGCTCAAATAAGCAGTGTGCATCTTATTTTATTTTATGTTTTTGTTTGTTTGTTTTTAAATATATTTTATTGATTTTAGAGAGGAAGGGAGAGGGAGAGAAACATCAATGATGAGAATCATTGATTGGCTGCCTCTTGCACGCCCCCTACCGGGGATTGAGCCCACAACCCAGGCATGTGCCCTTGGCCGGAATCGAACCTGGGACCCTTCAGTCGGAGGCTGACGCTCTATCCATTGAGCCAAACCAGCTAGGGCTGCAATATGCATTTTAGGTAGCACTTCCTGGGTGATGACTTCTGATAACCTGATTATTGTTCATTTCATGAAAGAAAAAATGTAGTACCTATCGTGGTCACCACCTACTTAGATGCTGGCAGAATCCCCTCTTCCTGATATTCACAGCTTTGGGAAATTCCTCCCCTTGAGTGTGGACAAGATCTGTGACTTGTCTCTAACCAAGAGAATATACAGGGTGTCCCCAAAAATGTATACACACTTGGAATAATTATTAACTCCAACGGATTAAATCTGAAAAGAAAGAAACACCAATTGAGCAATCAGCTGTTAGTGTGTATACATTTTTGGGGGCACACCCTGTCTACAGCAAAGGTGTTGGGATGCCATGTCTGTGATTGGGTTTCATAAGATAATGACGTCTTTCTTGCTAGCAGACTCTCTTTTGCCTTATAGATTTGCCTTTTTTGATGTGGCAAGCTGCCATGTCAGGAAAACCCACATGGTAAGGACCTGTGGCCAGCAGCCTATGGACAGCTGAGTCTGGCCATCAGCCACTGATTGGGCGTGCAAGCAGGCCCTTCCCCATTCGAGTATTCAGGTGAGACCCCAGCCCTAGCTGGCAACTTGCTTGCATCCTTGTGAGAGTCCCCGAAGCAGAGGGCCCAGCTAAGCTCTGATCAGGTTCCTGACCTACACCAACTGTGAGATAATGTATGCGTGCTGTTTTAAGCTGTGAAGTTTTGGGGTAATTTGTTAGGCAGTTATAGCTGACCAATACACTACGATCTGCCTCTTTCTTTAGCAGGTCCAGGAGCGAGCTGTTTAAGGTCAGTGAGTCCTTGTCACGTGTGTTTATCTGCTTACCCATTCCACCACTGGAATGTTCCATCAGAATCCACCCTTAGGGTGGAAGGTGGAACCTGCGGCCCACAGTGTACAGAGAAAGTGCTCCAGGAAAGCACTCTGTGGGCCTCACACTAGAACAGCGGTTCTCAACCTGTGGGTCGCGACCCCTTTGGGGGTCGAACAACCCTTTCACAGGGGTCGCCTAAGACCATCGGAAAAACACATATATAATTACATATTGTTTTTGTGATGAATCACTATGCTTTAATTATGTTCAATTTGTAACAATGAAATTGGGGGTCGTCACAATATGAGGAACTGTATTAAAGGGTCGCGGCATTAGGAAGGTTGAGAGCCACTGCACTAGAACCTTCACTTACCATTTAGCTTGCACATCAGTCAGCCAAGCAGTTACTCCCTGGGGTCTGGAACTTCAGCCTGGTCGGGAGACTAGTCATGCCCCAGCCGCTGTCCACAGCGAAGTTATGGATGCCGAAACGCACATCCCAGCCCGGTTCATAAGCAGAGGTGCAAAATGTCTGAAGCCATGAGTTAAAAAACTTTTGCCAGAAAGGGGGGGAAATGGGGAGATACTGAAATGTATGCAATGCATTGGGCGTCGCGCACCCCACTTCACTGTCTCAGAGTTCCACCTCTTCTGGAGTGGGGGCTTACCTCCAGGTCGCATAGTCCTGAATTCTTAGTCTGGCTCAATCTGGGTCCTACATCAACTATTAAATGAGAACAAGAGAAATACTTGTCTCCTAAAGGGGTTGTCGGATTAAATGTTAGCCCGGCCCTTCCTTCTTCTTCCAGGGATTCTAGGTCCTCAGCGTGATTGGGGCCGCGCGTGAGGGAGCGGAGCGCAGCCCGCACCCCGGCTGGTGGCCTGCCCCGCCCACGTGGGGCCGCGGCCGGTCGAATGACTCCGTGCAACGTGTTGGCGGCGGCGGCGGCGGCGCGGGCTCTTCCGGGCGCCGCAGTTTCCTGCCAAACACCGCGCAGCCGCCTCGGAGCGGGAGTCTCGGCTGCAGGCCCGGCGCGGGTGCGGGACCGGGCTCCGCTGCGCGCCCTGCCCGCCCGCCGGCACCATGCGCGCCGCGCCGCTGCTGCCGCTGCTGCTCGTGCTCCTGGCCGCGCCCGCTGCCCGCGCGGTCCGTGCCCAGGTGGTCGCGGAGCCGCAGCCCCAGCGCCCGGCGCCCGGCTCCCGGCCAGTGAACGCCACCCGGACCGGGTCGGGGGCGGCGGCGGTGACGGGCGGCGGCGGCAGCTCCAACAGCAGCGGCGACGCCCTGGTGACCCGCATCTCCAGCCTGCTCCGCGACCTGCCCACCCTGAAGGCGGCCGTGATCGTGGCGTGCGCCTTCACCGCCTTCCTCATCGCCTGCCTGCTGCTGCGCGTCTTCAGGTGGGTCCCGGCGCCCCTCTCCTTCCCCCGCGGGTCCATCTGCACCGCCTACCGGCCGTGACCGTGACCGTGGCCGCGTCCGCGCCACCTGCGCGCACAGATGCTCTGAATGCCGCTCGGCTCTGCCTAGGCGCCCGGTGTGCTCCTCCCACCCCGCTCCCTACGCCTCGCAGGTTTGCCTGGTAACATTTTAGGAAATTTCTCCACTTTTAACTATATACATATAAAATAAATATTGAATTCCCTCGAACTCTCTGTGAATGCTTAGCACCAACAACAGCGCTCCGATTTTTGATAACCTTACACGGGATTTATGTTTATACCCGTTTCACAGATGAGAGTAAATTTTCCCGCCAGGCATGGTGGCTTAGCCAAGTAAACTCGGAGGTGGAGGTAGAATTTGTATCCAGGTCCGTCTGACTTCAGTCTTCCGTCCTTTCCTTCCTCTGAGGCTCCCTAGCCCCAACCTGCCTTTTTTCTTTTTTTTCCTCGTGTTACTAAAGGAAGCAGTATCGGGCATATGGGGGTGTCTGCAGGAGGCCTGTTGGGGGTGTGCTTTGCGCCCCAAGGATGCTTGGTGACTCCTGGTGGCCTCAGTACTTCCTGTTAGTGGGGGACAGGGACAACTCTGCTATGCTCCTACCTGGCCGAGTTGGTTTAAGCTCCATGGGTATAAGGGATCCTGGAGAGGCTTTTGTAGGTTGCTCAAGTTCAAGGAGAACGTATCTGGGAAGTTGGGAAGGATGTCCAGGTGCCTGGAGTAGGGCGATGGAGAAGGCGACAGTGGAGGCAAGGGGCATATTTCCCCCCAGTGCCTGGGAAACCCTGTCTTTGAAGAAAAGGAACCGAATGTGTCGGGTTACGGGGGCGGGCTGCCGGGTCATATGGGTGTGTATGTGTGTGTATCATTACTCACGCCATTCCCTCCCCTTCCAAGTGTACACAGTGTGCTGGGTGTTTGATCAGCTGTCGGAGGTTTGGGGCCCGGGGCTTGCTCTCCCGGTGGGAGCATTTTCAGCGGCAGGAACAGAAACCAGACCGGGAGGGGGAGTTATCTATAGGTTTGCAGTTATGATGTGTTTCCTGGTGAGTCTGTAGGATGAAATGGCAGTGGACCTAAGATAATGGAGAGGGGGAACTATGGCCCCCCAGCCACCCCACCATCCTGTGCCCTGGCTTTGGCCGCGTTCCTCACTGTGCTAGTCCCCTCATGTGGGAATTGAATTGCCCCTCTCTGGACCCCGGCCTTCCCTCTGCCCATGCCTCTGCTGACAAACCTCCCTGCGGCCGTTACCTGGGCATTGCATCCCGGGGCCCTTAACAAACTGAAGCCAGCGCACCTTGCGGCCATCAGCCTCCCGAGCCTCCTCTCTGTCACCTGCTCCTTTCCCTGCACTCCACGGTGCTGGCTTGTGCGTTTCCACTCCTGGGCCGGCCATTCCCGCTTCACACCTGCAGACACTGCCCGCAGCCACCACGGCCTGGCCCCATGCTTCTTCCCAGTGTTCCTGGGTATCCATGTGAGGCCCTGGCTTCCTTTTGTGGCCTCCCCCAGCCCTAGCCTTCATGCAGCCTCCATACAACCCTTCTCCTGCTGTGCTGGGTGGCTGGGCGTAGTGTCCAGCTCCCATACTTAGGGACAGCCCAGTGTCTCCATAGCCCTCCTGGCCTGGCACCCAGTGACGCTCCATTAGCCTGATTCTCTGGCTGTTCAGGTGGAGCAAACGTTGATGCCTAGAGCAACTCTGAGCCTGGAGGTTTGAAACGTTTAGCAGAAAATAGGCCGCTGAGCCCAGAAGGCGGCGGACTTTTCAAGCAGGCATTTGAACTATTTTGCCAGTCTGCTCCTTATTATCCAGGAGGGGGAGAGGAAAGCAAGCAGCGTGCGGCCAGATGTGAGGGCCCCGAGCGGGAGTTTGGGAGGGAGAGCAGCCCTCAGGCCTGGCCGGGATGGGTCCTCGTTGGCTTGGGTGCGGAGTGTTGGGAGAAGGTTCTGGCTTCACAGAGAAGCCAGGGATGGACACGATCTGCCTCCCCTTCCCGAGAAAGTGGTCTTGGGGTGAGCTACCAGGTGGACAGGATGGAGACAGGAACTGGTTTCTGATGGAGTCAGCAACTCATGGCATTTGCAGCTGGGAAGGGCCTGGGTGCTGCACAGCCCCCATGGGCTCCTTGGTAGAGAGAAAGTTGTATCTCGGGGTAGGGAATGAGTCATCTGTGCGATTCTAGAACACTACACGTCTGTGGCTAAGGCAGTGCTGTGCCCCATCACACTGCTCAATAGTCTGCACTGAGACCTTCCCCCTTTGGTCCGCTGTAGGCTCAGTCCACAGGCTCCCAAAGGCCTGCCGCACTGGCTGGGCATCCCTCTCCCCTGCCTCCCTGCCCAGCTTCTTAGCAGGCAGTTGCCGCTCCTGGACATTGTGCCCCACCACCCTTAGGCTAGCTCACCTGCGCCCACAGCCCTTCCACCCACGGAAACTTCTCCACCTGCCAGCCCTCTGCCCGCCCGGAGTCCCTACTTTGTCTCTGAACCACAGCCCTTGTCTTCTGCCACCAGCCTTGTCCCTGCTCCCGCCATCACCCCTCTGCTTAGCACATGGGCAAGCTGGCTCTTCACGACCAGGGCCTTGCCCCCCTCCTATGTCCCTGTCTTGGCTCTGCCCGCGGTTCCGCCCTTCTGGACTTCTACGGGTTCTCCAGAGGTGGCCTGTGGCCTCAGGCCTGCGTGTTCTGCCCACTCTGACCCTCTGCCTGGAGTCCCCTTCGCCACCAAGACCACACTGCCAGCTCCTTGCTGTTCGCCCTCCTGCGGCGCCTCCTGTGAGAAGACACCCCTGCCAGGGCCCACCAGTGCTCCCAGAGCACACTGGAGTTTTTTGTTTTGTTTTTTTTAAATACATTTTTATTGATTTCAGAGAGGAAGGGAGAGGGAGAGAGAGAAACATCAATGATGAGAGAGAATCATGGATCGGCTGCCTCCTGCACACCCCTCACTGGCGATTGAGCCTGCAACCCCGGCATGTGCCCTTGAGCAGAATCGAACCTGGGACCTTTTACTCCACAGGCCGACACTCTATCCACCGAGCCAAACCAGCCAGGGCTGCACACTGGAGTTTTGAGTTTCCCACATGAGTCAAGAGTGTCGCTAACATGTCTCTTTGCCACAGGAGGCCGAGGGCTCCCGAGAGCAGGGCTGGGCCTTCATCGTTTGTCTCTCTAACCCCTACTGTGGCTCCAGGCACAAGCTGCCATCTAATAAAGATATTTTTAGCAAATGAATGTTGAACTTCTAAGTAGTTTACACTTGCTGATGATTCTCAAAATGTCCTCTCTAACTAGATGCATGGCTGATGCCGGAAACCGGTGAGGTAGGAATTGGTTTGAATGGTGGCCCTTCCTTTCCTTAACAGTGTAGATAAGGGAGGAAGGGGGCAGTGTTTTTGTTTATAAAGTGGCAGTCCTGGCCTATTTGTCTGTTTTCCCTGAAGGAGTCACTTTGCCAGACAACAGAAAAAATGTGGATCCAAGGAAACTTAAAATTAGAAGCAAAGAATGTGTATTGCAGTGGGAAAAAAAATCTTTAGCCAAGCAATTCCATTCCTAAGGCACACACATTTCTCACTGTGATACAGTCTCTTTGCTTCTAAATGTATTATTAGGAGAGGACGCAAGGATGCACGGGCAATGGAATTCAGAGCAGTTGTGTTTGATGGCAAAAGGTTTAAATAGATCTAAGTTTGCAACAGTTGGGCCTTGGTTAAAGAAATTATGGTAATCCTTACACTGAAATACTATATGGCTGTTAAAAATGATGGTGTTGCCATAATACTATATATTGTTAAATGGAGCAGGTTATAAACCACATGTTTAGTATGAGCTCATTTAAATAAATAAATTATTTATGTGAATGTGCCCCAAAAAATCTATGTTCGTGTATGTATTCTACACGTGAATGTATAGACTGTTTATGACATCTTTATCATTCATGCTACATTTCTACATTGTCTGAATTTCCTTAAAGTGGACATCTATTCGTTATTTCTCCCCCTGTCTGTACACTCAGCTCCCTGCTGCATCCTTGGACGTGCCCCCCCTGAGGACCTGTATAAGAGCATCGGGGTGTACACCCATGAGTGGGATTCCCAGGTCCGGGGGTACACATACTTGATACGCTTGAGTCTACACTGTTCTACCCTCCCATCTGCAATGCCTGTGGGTGGGGCATCAGGTTCTCCCATCATGTTCAATACATTAGCATTATCAGACTTGCTAAGGTTTTCCAACAAAATGAGTGTGATTTGGTATCTCGTTGCTTTGTTTTGCGTTTTCTGTTGAGGTTCAATAGCCGTCTCATCTCTCCCCATACTTATTACTCCATCTGTGGAATCATTTATACCTTCTTAATGTATTTTAATCATTAAGAAAAACTACTTTAAGACGAGACAAAATTGGAAGGAGGGACAGCAGTTTGAAGGCAGAGTGCCCTCTGGCCAGAGTACGTGTGTGTGTGTGTGTGTGTGTGTGTGTGTACGTGTGTGTTTGGTACATGCAGTTCTGCCCAGTTCACAGTGAAGCCATTCCCCCCACCCCTCATGTTGTTCCTTGACGTGCTTCTGAGAGCTGGAAGGGAATCAACTAAGAAGCTGTGTCTAGTAAGTGGAAAACTTCCATTCCCCCATTTTGTTGTTGTTGTTGTTAATCTTCACCTGAAGATGTTTTTTTCCAATGACTTTCAGAGAGAGAGTGGAAAGGAGAGAGGGAGGGGAAGGAGGGGAAGAGAGACAGAGGAGAGAGAGAGAAACCTTGATGTGAGGGAGACACATCAATTGATTGCCTCCCGCATGATCCTCTACTGGGGCCGGGGATCAAACCTGCAACCCAGTTACGTGCCATTGACCAGGAATCAAACCCAAGACCCTTCAGTGCATGGGCCAGCGTTCTAACTACTGAGCAACACTTGCCAGGGCTGATCCCTCTGGTTTTTTATGTCAGAGCATCTGCTGGGGCAGCATGGATTCAGGAACAGCACTTACGCCAGTGGCCGCTGTTCTCAGTACCTTTGGCGTCTTAGGTCTGACTTTACCCTTTGAGATCTGCGGGGATGGAACTCGACTTTCCGGTGTCTTACAGAGAAGGTGGAGACAAGTCAGAAACCACCACCTGAAACCACAACTTTCCTTTCCTCCTGGGGAACCTTTCCCCGCCTTGGCGAGCCTCCCAGCTCTCCTGCTCCCGCCACGTTTCTCCCAGATCTCTGTTGGCTCCATGCCCAGCCACCTCTTATTTCAAAAGCTCTGTAAAATCTCTGATCCGAAAGGAGGGTTTGTTTTGGTGCTTCCTGGCGAATGGAGAGGAACACAAATTCTCGCTGATCTGACATTGCCCAGCTGTCGCACAGGCGTCGGTGGCAAAGATGCACGCCACCGTGTCCTGCAGATGTTGGAAGCGCAGAAACCTAGTCGTTTCACTCAGCCAGGTCTCTGAAAAGGAACGAAAACTTTCTTACTTAGCCTGAAATCCCCAAACTTTCCCCAAGTTGTCTGTGTACTGACATTTGTAATAAGAATAAGAGTTAATATATGCATATATGCATAGCCCCTGGGCACAGACAATAGTGTGGTGAAGGCCTGGGGGTGGAGCAGGTGGGGGGTGGACAGAGTCGTGGGGGAAGAAAAAGGGACAGCTGTAATACTTTCAACAGTGAAGATAAGTTAAAACAAAATAAGAGAAGTTAAGAGAAAATGTAAAAGCTTAATACTGTTAGGATTTGGGGAAAGTTACCATTGTGAAGTGTTTTTCGTTATTGAGCATTAGCATATTGGTATTATTTTAATAAATTGGAGCGTTGGGCAGAGCCATGGTTGGAAGACAGTCCCTTTCTGTGACTTTGAGAGGGACTGTGGAGTTTGTTTGACATCAGGAGGCCATTTCTTTTTTAAGGAGGTCGTTTTTGGTGGTTTGACTAAGATTTGAATTGGGGGGAAAAGCGAGCTAGGCAGCTGGACATCTGGGCTTGAGGTGGACAGTTTGGGAGGTCCTTTCGAGAAGTAACCATCCCTGAAGTGGGGGTAGTGGTGGCAAGAACTGACCTGTGCCAGGGACAAGTAGATGCTGAACGGATCCCTTATGCCGTGTGCCCCACAGCACAGTGACACCACAATTTCCAGGCTGTGTTGGGTCCCCGGGGTCCACCAAAGAGTCTCCTGGTCATCTTGCCGCTGCCCCTAGAGGCTGCCTTCCTGGCTCCAGGCCTGGCTTTCCTCCGCTGGCACCGCACATAGAACCAAGTGGGCCAGCCCTTGGTAAACACACTTGAGAGCTGGAGGAACAGGTCTCGGGGCATTGCTGTTGTCACATCTCATGGGGCTCCTCAGACAGGTCAAACCCGGGGTGACCATTTCACCTTAGAAGAACCAGAGGTGGTCCGGCCTCAGGCACTGAGAGAGGGAAAGAGAAACCAGTGTGGGGAGCAGATGCAGGCGGCCGTGTTATGGAGGAAAGCCCTACAGTGCATTGTAATGAGCTTTGTGTGGCTGCCTGGCCCGTGTTGCGTGATCCTACTGGACACACTGTGTGTTGTGTGCTAGACGCAGGTGCTGGGGTCAATCAACGAGGTAGCACTTTATTAATCCCGAGGGGACAGACAGTGCCCACGAGGGGAGGGAAGCACCGAGGTTGTATAATTAGCGGCGGGGACCTTGGCTGACCTTGTGAACCAGCCCATCTCTCCGGCCTCATGGTTTTAGCTGAATTATTCAGTGTCACTCATGCTTGGCACGTGTGACCAGTACACCATGGCCAGGGAACGGAGTCAGAGGCTGCAAGCTGATGGCCCACAGATAAGTGTTTATGGTTCTGTTCTGATCTGCACAGTGATTTTAACCAGGTAGCTGAGAACATTTAGACATTGGGAGTCTCCTGCTTTTCCTGACGAGTGGAAATATCTGGAAACGCTGGGCCTCTGCCCCACGTGACAGCCAGGTGCGGCGGCTGGGCTTGTGAGCACCACCCTTTGTGTCTCTTGGCCCCCGAGACAGAGAGTTGGCTGCCAGATGGCCAACGTCACCGTGTTTGTTCTAATGTTTATGCCACGCCAGGCCCGCTTCACTGGTTTCTGTGCTTCTGGGGCTCTGGGGTTTGTGGGGGTCATTTCGCTTGACCGGGTGCTGGTGTTGGAGCAGAGGGGCCCCAGCAGGGTACGGAGGGGCAGCTGCAGGACAGGGGGGAGGGGTGGTGACGCTGGTGACACTGCTGGGGGCACCTGGAAGGTCACAGACACCTGTGTTCAGGGAGCCGTGGCCGGAGCCCTGCTGGATAGAGGTCGGGGTGAGTGACTTGCTCAGAGGAGCCGAGACAAAGGAATTGCAGAGCCGAGATCTGAACCCCGATCCCTAGACGTGCCGTCTGTGGATCTGACCACCATACCCCCAAGTTGAACTTTCAGTCACAGGCCTGATGGGCTTGTTTAGTTTTGTTTCTCCCTGGGGGGCGGGGGGGGGGGCTGAGCGAGGAAGGAAGGCCTCTCTCCAGTTGGTCAGCGGAGCGCAGCTCCCTCCGCCTCTGTCTGCTTGGGGTGCCTGCCAGCCTTCCTGGGAACCTGCCGCTGACCAGCTGTTGAATGGGCCTTTGAGTAAACAACCCCCCCCCCCCCAACCCCGGCTTTAGGATTGCATTTCAGAGTCAAAGAATGTTGAACTTCTCCCCTGAGTTGTTAGAAATGTGTGCTTTGGCTCCAGTGGAGGGACCCTTGGTCTCTTCTAGAACGTCGCTGGTCCAGCCTGCTCCCGTGAAGGCACCGAGGACACTTACTGAAAACTGCCAGTCGCCATCACTTTGTTGAGGCCTCCTGGCATAATGAGACCTTGTTCCAGGGGAGAAGAATTGTGGCAAGGGGGCCGTATTGACTGTACTTGCGAAGGGAGGGGCACAGAGAAGGCAAGGCATTGGGAGAGTCCAGATAGTGACTGAGAAATAAATGCAAAGGCCATCAGCACTCATAACAGCAGCAGTGTTCCCAGTGGCATCGTGGGCGCTCAGCCATTCCCCGATAAACGCTGCCTCCTTCACGCAGAGAGCCTGACGCTGGAGAACGTGGGCCTTGTCTCCGCACTTCCCCTCTGGCCCGCAGTGGTCCTCTGTTATTTCAGAGGTAAAAGCTTAGTGCTGTAACCCAGCAGCCTCGTAAATCCTCCTGATGGAGACAATACTGACTCATTTTTACAAGTCCTGGCCGTCCAGGAGAGGCGGTAGCACTTCTATTTGCTGGTTATATTTACTAACAATCGTTTTGCTAAGAGTCTCCTGTGTGTAGGCCTGTTACATGCATCATCTCACTTCATCCCCCCTCGCCTGTGAGGGACAATTATTCTTATCACATTTTATTTATGAGGCTTAGGGAGATGAACTCACTTGCCCATGCCCACACAGGTAGGAAGTGGCCAGGCTCTGACCCAGATCCCACGTGATGGCCCCCAGGGCAGTGCTCTTAATGCCAGCTTGCGCCCCCTGTGCTTGGAGCAGTGACCATCCATTGCCACAGGGCCAGGCAGGGGACGAGGAGGGAGGGGACGGGGTGCATCATGCCCGTGCAAGTGCAGAGCTGGATCCTGCCCTTATTGAACATTTTGGTCTTTTGTGCATCATGGGTTTTCTATTATTCCTCTTGGTTCCTGGGTTTTCCAGTGCTCAGGGCAGCTTTAATCATCTCTGTTTTGTGGGTGAGAACCGCAAGGGTTATTGAGGTCAGGAACGTGTCCGAGGTCCCATGGCTGAAAGCACAGGAGCCGGGGTATTCCCCAGACTCTGGAACCCAGGCTGGGGACAGTGCGTGGTTTCCCTCGGGGGATGGTGGGGTCCTCAGGATTGTGCCTCTCTTCCAGGTCCGGAAAGAGGTTGAAGAAGACCCGCAAGTATGACATCATCACCACCCCGGCTGAGCGCGTGGAAATGGCCCCGCTGAATGAAGAGGATGATGAAGATGAAGACTCCACAGTATTTGACATCAAATACAGGTTCGGATGGGGACAGCAGCTGCCCTGGGCTCCCGGGCTTGGGCGGTAAGAGGGTTCACCTTTGAACACCCGCAAGGCCAGGCGTGGGTCCTTGTTCTCTGTTCAAGCGTTTGACTGTGGGATGTGCTGCTTATGGGGGGAGCTGCTCTGATCCCTACACAGCACCCAGAAAGCCAGCAGGGAATACTTACAGATAAAGGGTTATTATTCCTCACTTTCCCCAAACGTGAACACTGAAACGTCAGCTTTACAGGAGGAAAGGGGGGAAGGCATTTCAGACAAGCAGTTGGCCATGTGCTTGCTGTGAGGGACTTGGTTTGAACAGCCCCATCTGTAGTCACCGTGAACACAAATGGAAGTTTCTCAGCCTCTTAAATGGATTCCCGAGAGCATGGGGTGGGCATGGGGGCTACTCCTTGGGGGGACTTCTCGGATGAGCTCTGAGCCCGGTGCGCTTCCTCAAGGCAGCCTGCAGGAAGGTCGGAGTGATGTGGTGACTTTAGGAGTACAGCGTGGTTTTCGGATCCTTTGGCGATAGACTTCAGCTATGGAGGATTCTCAGAGTGGGAGCTGGGTGAATGTAGTTTAGAGATGACGGCTCAGGGGTCTAGAGAGGGGATGTTGCTTGCCCTAGGTCTCAGTTATCAGTGGCAAAGGTGAGACACAGATCCGGGCTGGACCCAATCCTGAGCTTTTCCTCCCGCCCCCAGGGCTTTCCAGAGAAACAAGAG